AGAGTTAATTGCGGACTTCTTTTTCACTCCTTCTGAATTTTGTATATCCTTTTGTCATCTTATTTTTCATCTCTCCCTCTTACTAAACCCAAGGCAAGAAATTCCCACGGCATAGCACACGGCCAGTTACCCAACATTCAATATTTGCTAAAACAGTAAATAGCATTGGGTCTTTTTATTGAAAAAATAAATAATTTGTTTATTTAGTGGATAACAGATTATAATAGTAGATAATATACTAATGTAGTAAAAAGAAAACTTTCAAACTACGTAAAAAATCGTTCAGAGAATAACAATATTCCTCAGATGTCTGATTCCTCAGACATCTAGCTCTGATCCCAAGAACAAGTCATGGTGACCAGTTCCTTGTAGTCTTGCAGACATATTCTAGAATTGCATAGAATTTAAGTGTGATTTAAATTTACTGCCAAAGATTGCGACGGGGCTGGGGAAAATTTTTGGTTAGTATGTTTTCTCCCCTGAGAAATCACCAATTTCAAATTCATAAAAATGACAGCACAAATGGAAACTTTTTTTTTTTTTTTAAATGTGCGTGGCAAGAACATAGCAGAGAAAGATGCTAGTGTATTATGAACTCCTTCAGATAAAACCACATCTGATTCCATGCAATTCTATTTACAGATTCCTTTAGGAGCTCTGGTAGCATAGTGCCTAAGGCAGTTAGTTGCCTGCTAACCAGAAGGCTGGCAGTTCAAACCCACCAGCCACTCCTCAGAACGAAGGTTGGGTAATCTACTTCCATAGTGAAACCGCCTTGGAAACCCAAGGGGGGTCACTATGAGTCAGGTCCAACTTGAAGGCACATAACAACAACAACAACAATAACAGTCCTTGAAATTAACCTTATGATCCGTTTATTCCTAATTCTGTGGCCTTAGATATCATTTTTATTGTGTGATTTCTCTGAACATGAAAAGAGCCAGTATTCAGTGACTCAAACACACAAAGGTCTTTTCCTTCCTTTCGGTGAGATGTCTGGGGTCACCCTTACACAGCTGTCTACAGTATGAAAAGAGAAAGTGCTTCCTGGGGGAAGGAAGACAGTAATCACTTTTCTCCTCAGTGTCGTTTTTGTCAGACAGATGTCTGCAACTGCCCTGGAAGACACTTTGTTTAATGATACAACTACTTAAAGGGACTTAGTGTCTGACACTGCCTTTTCTCAGGTGGCTAACTTTTATCACAGCATGGCTCATTTAAAATGACCTTATAAATGTCTTTCTTTAAAAGGACATCAAATTGCACAAGCGGTTCTGTGTTTGTGCTTGTGGAGGAATTGATACTGAAATATTTACAATTCTCTGCTTTATTCCACATCCACATGGTAAATGCACATTCATTTTCTTTTCAAAAGACAAAAAAAAAAAAAAGATTGAACAAAAAATTCACCCAATGCGTAGGTTTTTCTCTTTTTTTTTTTTTTTTTTAAAAAAACTAAGAATCAAAAGCCAAGAATTTGAACTCTAATAGTTATGTTGTTGTTGTTGTTGTTGTTATTTGCCGTAGAGTCGGCCCCGACTCATAGTGACCCCTCCTTGGGTTTCCGAGGCAGTATCACTATGTTATAGCTCACGTTATCTCATCTTTCACTAAAGTAGCTATAGTCTTTTCTCTTTAATAGCATCTTTACCACTTCTCTCCCCCAATGCTATAGCAAGTAATTTGAAGAGCTGACATCCAGGCATGATATTCCTAGTATTTTGGGGGTCTGAAATAGACATGCTACCTACTAAGGAGCTCTGGTAGCATAGTGGCTAAAGCACTTGACTGCTAACCAGAAGGCTGGTGGTTCAAACCCACCAGCCACTCCTCGGAAGGAAGGTTGGGCAATCCTACTTCTGTAGTGATACTGCCTCGGAAACCCAAGGAGGGGTCGCTATGAGTCGGGGCCGACTCGACGGCACATAACAACAACAACAACAACCTACTAAGACAAGTTAAATGGAAGCATTGTTTCACTAGGCCCTCCATGGAAGATGCACCAAAGATAGTTGACCAGCTTCTTCCTTTTCTCCTAAATTTGTTTGCTACTGAGATGTCTGTTTGCTATTTCAAGTCTTTGGTGTAGACTCAGTGGTCTCCTTGACTGTCAATGAGCTCTTTTTAGCTGTTTCTTTGTTAGTGCCTTCTTGTTGCTTCTCCCTCCTCCGTTTCCATCAGCAAAGCCAACCATAAGGGCATCCAGCCAACTTATCTACCCCAGTTCAGCCTTATTGCACTTCTTACAAATCTGAGGAAAAGCCTCATTGGGTTAGGAAAAAATCCCAGAACTCCTGGAGAAAGTGGACTCAAATTCAGACAGTCTTTTCCTTCAATTAGAGATGTTATTTCTTTGTACTAATTACTTAAGAACTTCCTTCTCCATCAATCTGCTTTCCATGTTTAGGTTTTATTACTTTCCATTCCTCAATTCTTCAGCTGAAACACTGCTGTTCAAGAAAGTGGACTCCTCTGGTGGTACCATTTTGAATTGGCTTTGCTGCATCCTTTTCCCAACATATTACAGTATTACTGAATTCTATAAATACATATCTGGGATTGCAAAATAAATAAAAATTGCACGTGTTAAATGAATGAGAGGGATGTGGATTAATCATTTGTAGAAGAACTGTACATTTTCTTCTGAGTTTTATTGGGTAAATCAGATAGTAAAATGATAATGCTACGTGACTACCATATATCTAGCACTGCTTCTTAATTGGCCTCCATGAAGCATTTATCTGCCTGGCATCTCTCACAAAATGCCAACTAGTAGCAGAGCACAGAGGCACTGGTTAAGAGAGTAGTTTATGGTGGTAGACAGCCTGGGTTTGACTCCCAGCTCTAGCACTTCATAACTATGTGATTTTTGTCGAGTTGCTTGATCTCTTCATGCTGTTTCCTTACCTGTAAAATGAGGACCATAGTAATTGTACCTACCCACTCATTTCATAGGTATGTCTGAAGATAAAGTGAGGTAATACAGTGAAACCTGTGAGAGCCGGAACTTGACAAGACGGCTTCGTTTCTCCGGGTGTTGCAAGTTTTCCAACTCTGACTAGTTATAGTATTACCACTTTTTACCACTTTTTCTTCATGGAAAATATTTCAGTTTTCCTTCTCTAACAGGTTTCCACCTTACATAAGTTCTGGCTTTGGCAGGTTTTATTGTATATGCGAAACATCTAGAGTAGCTGGAATAGTAAGGTTACATAACTGCTCTGATGGTATAATGGTTAAGGCATTTGGCTGCTAACCAAAAGGTCAGTGGTTTAAACCCATCAACTGCTTTGTGGAAGAAAGATGGGGTGTTCTGCTTCCTAAAAGGTGTATAGCCTTGGAAACCCAATGAGGTTTGCTATGAGTCAGAAATGACTCTATGGCAGTGATATATATATATATATATATATATATATATATATATATATATATATGTATATATATAATAGTTATTATTAAGCTATTGCTTGGTTGACAATGACTGATTTAAAGCAAAATATGAGGTAAGTATACCACATTTTGTATTGACTTCAAGGACAATGGCATTGTACTGAAATACTCCTAGGAATATATTCAGACTTGGGAACTTATTTCAGAGAGCAGTAAGTTCTCTGGGTCAATCAAAGCATTTTCTCTTTGAACATCTGTAAAATTAATGAATAATCATTAACCACTAACAGTGACTAAAAGGAGCCAAAAGTATTGAAATGGGATATATCTGAAGTCTTGTGATGATCTATACTCTCCTGACATATTTCTATTTGTTTGCAACATAAACAATTCAATTTCCAAGGTACATGGAAATTTTTATATTATATATAATTATAAACTTTAATTTTTACTGTCATTACCTCTTCATAGTTGATGGACATCTTGGCAAATTCAAAGGTTGAGATTAAAACTACATGAATGCAAATCAGTTGAGCCACAGGGCAAATTGGTAGAAATTTAAGTTAGAGCATTTTTGATAAATGGCATTGGCTTATGTGTTCAGTAACCTAAGGATTTCTATATTGGTTTGGTCAAACATTCCAAGTAAGCTTTTTTTTTTTTTTCCAGCAATCTTTTAAAGTAAGATCAATACCACCCTCAGATAATAAACTATAATTTCAGATACTACTAAGCCAAACAAAATAATAATGTTTTATTAGTACAGATCGCTGTCAGTGATGCTTCAAAAAGGTACAGTTGTTAATGGCAGGCTCTACATGATGCAGTGAATGAAGGAGAACTGTATTAATGTTTTTTTCCAATTCATGTTTCCAGTTACTGGGTGAGAGAATGCCAACACATACAAGATTCAGCCTCTCTGCTTAAGTTTGATTCTCTGTTTCAAGTCAGTCTCAGAATTTAATTAATATTAGGTGGCAGTATAGTGGTTAATGCATTCGGTTGCTAACCAAAAGTTCTGCAGTTTGAACCCACCAGCTGCTCCCTGGGAGGAAGATGATATAGTCTGCTTCCGTAAAGATTTACAGCCTTGGAAACCCTATTCGGCAGTTGTACTCTGTCCTGTAGGGTCACTATGAGTCAGAAATAGATTCAATGGCAGTGGGTTTGGTTTGGGTATATCATTTTGAGTATACTAATCGTATAAATTAGTTTAAGTGAAAGTGACATTGCATAATCATTACATTTTGGCTAAATCTAGCAAGCTTGCTTCTTGTTGTTATTTAACTGCCCATGCCTAATGATTAAATTATCATTCCTTCTTTTGTCCGTAGAAGAGATAGAAAAAACATTTGATTCATTTCCTTCCCCACACAATCAATTGATTTGCATAACGTGTATAGATTCCCACATGTTTACTATACACTGATCCAAACATGCCAACAAACTGACATTATTTAGAGAAAAAAAAAAAATCTTCAAACGCACAAGAATGCTAGGGCTATCATTCTGAATTCCCACAATCCGTCCATCTGGTAATGTTCCCAGGCAGCCAGATGCCCCAGAGAAACAAGATACAGTTTTGTTATTTTTTTCAACCGATGACTTACCCACAATGACAGCAGTGACAGTGAGGAGCACAAAAGCATTCCGAAACAGGTAACTTTTAACATCGTCCTTTGTGATATTCTGCACTTTCTTCTTGGCCAAGAGCGTGCGTTTACGGACTCCTCGCTGCAACCTCTCCATCCTGCCCCCCATCTTGGGCTCTTCTTCATTGCTTTTAGTCATATTTTACTTCTGTGGCAGGGTTTCTTCTTCACACTTCTGTGTCTCACAATCACCCTCAGAAAGTCAAAGCTCCTTTCCGGTGTTAGGGAACACAACTAGAATGGAAGAGAAAGAGACAAGCATTACAGTCTACAGGGGTGAGAGAGTCGAGCTGCTCCCTACCACATCAAGTTGTCTGTTAACTGCAAGATCTCAGTAGGAAACATAGCGTGGAAGGTGACAATGACAAGTTTCAAGGCTACAAGGTACATATTTTAGTGGGAGCTCTGGTAGCATAGTGGCTAAGACACTTGCCTGCTAACCAGACGGCTGGCGGTTCAAACCCACCAGCCACTCCTCGGAAGGAAGGTTGGGCAATCCTACTTCCGTAATGATACTGCCTCGGAAACCCAAGGAGGGGTCGCTATGAGTCGGGGCTGACTCGCTGGCACATAACAACAACAACAACAACAATGTATGAGAAAAGGAGCTCTGGTAGCATAGTGCCTAAGGCACTTGACTGCTCACCAGAAGGCTGGCGGTTCAAACCCACCAGCCACTCCTCGGAAGGAAGGTTGGGCAATCCTACTTCCATAGTGATACTGCCTCGGAAACCCAAGGAGGGGTGGCTATGAGTCGGGGCCGACTCCATGGCAAACAACAGCAACATGTATGAGAAATGTGCATCTCACTGCTGTCGAGAAATGTGCATACATTCAGAATATAGGAACAGAAATTTGTCTTTTATTTTTTAAACTTGTCCACCCTCTTTAATAAAACTGTAAAAGGCTTCCACAGAGCTGGATGTGACTGAGCACCCCCTCCGCGTACTCCCCAGAACCCAGCTAAGTGCCTCGTACAGTCAATGAATGTCCGCTTGAGCTAAATGTACAGGGCACAGTAATTGCATGATGACTTACATTATAGACATGGTGAAGGCATAACCATGTCAGTAAAATGTATTATGATATTGATATCTGGCAGTTGAGGCCTTTCTATTTTATCATTAAGGGAAAAAAAAAACATGATAATAACAATTAGTAAATTGATACACACACACACACACACACACACATGCCCTTCAGACACAGAAAATACATTTGATTATATTCAGGGCGACTTTTTAATTTTTTCCATGAAATAAGTAATGCTGAAATAGGATATATCGAATTTACAGATAATTTACAAAGTGCTTTGGGTGCTTTGTAAATTATCTGCAAATTGCACATCTGTAAATTATCAAAAGTTATAATTCCTGTCCATTTTTTATGCTACAAAGCAGCATTTCTCTTGGTGGCAAATATACCAGAGTCTTCCCAGGACTCCGCCACTACTTTCTAAGTCAACCTTTTCCATTTCTACAACCTATGAGGAGGTGAACACGACTTTCATGCCCAACATTACAGCGCAAGGTTTCCAGTTTCTTTCAAGTGCTCTTAGGTTATTCAATTACATCCAAGTAAATCTTTTTCCTTGGTGGTAATCAGCCATCTGAGGAAGCCAGGGATTCCTCCAGCTGCTTTACAAGATTTCTAATCCACAGTATTTCTCATGATCCATTCGAGTGAAAATCAGGCGCGCCTGTGGACGTGTGTATCTGGCAACGCCAGCAGCTAGCCTGTGCGTCCGTCGGGGGAGGTAACTGGAAACCTAGGGACTCGTCCGAAGCGTTTGGCAAATCCAAGGGTGGAAAAAAGGACTCGTCTCAACAGTTTTCACTTATGAAGTACAATTAGAGGTTGGGGTCAGTAACAATCAGACCTCCAACTTGTTTAAGACTTCACACTAGATTAAAAGCTTATCGAGAATTGAAGGGATCTCTAATTTCCTTTACTAGTCACTTTTCAACAGATCAGCTCAGCCTTGATTCTTTTCGAGACCTCTAACCACAGTCTGCCCCCAGTCCACCCCGAATGACTCAACTCTAAATTAAGAAAGGACCTGGCATAACTCGACACCACACACTGACTACATTAAATCACTAACAGGGATTTTATCAACCAAAATGGCTAGCTTTTACTCTGCCTACCCCTCTGCTTGGGAAACAAAATAATGCATTGGCAAAAAAAAAAAAAAAAATGGAAGGAGAAATTAAACCCAGGAGGAACAGAGGACACTACGCTTACCTTGTCGGAATTTTGTAACGTGTGGAAGAAACTCCAGCAGATGACAAGGTGAACTCCCCAGCAAGCGCGACTGAGTGACCAACGCAGTGAGCGAGCAGCCCAGCTCTGACCATACGCATGTGCTCCTAAGTGGCAAGTTACTATCAAGGCAACTTAAGAAAAGGGGAGGAGTCCGGGCTGGGCCAAGGGGGAGTGGTGAAAATGAAAACACCACGGGAAAGGAGGGGGAGCCCCGAGGTTTCTGGAATATTGATTAATCTTGGCACACTCGAAGCAAGCTTGCTAGCTTTGTTTTGCTCCTTAGACCACTTTCACGCTTTGTCAGTTCACTTTCATTAGAAATGCAAAAGCCGGTCCAGGAAGAATTGAAGAAAAAAGCACAGGCGCACTCAGAGAAGCTGGAAGTCTTGATTAGGAAGTTTCAGAGCAGACGTTTCTAAGGCTAAGTGTAATTATCTCAGTTTATTGCAGGTTTCCTCCCCTTAAAGAAACACAAGCGTGTGTGCTCTTTTGCCTGGTTGTACAGCTGTTATGAAAGAGTCCCTCTTTTTAGATCTGGGAAAAAAACTGACATTTCGTGGGAAAAACAGGAACGCAATTAAGTATAGAAGGGGGAAAAATGCTTACTACAATTCTCTCAACTTTGCCTAAAGTTAGTCAAAACACAAGATGAGACATGCCTCGATTTTAGTAATTTAAACTCCATTACAACAAATCTAATTTAGTTCAAACTGCCTGCATTGCAAAGGTAAGGAACACAAAGAGAACAAAACCTTGGCTAAACTATAAGAGCATTTTAAGACCAAAGTGCAATGTATATATGAAGCTTTGTGGTTTCAACAGATGAGCTGCTATTTAGATTTCAGATGCCTCAATTTTAAATGATACTAAATTGTCATGTGCTCCCCCCCAATTTTGTGAGTTAGAAATTCTTACTGCTTTGACAAAACATGCAGCTTGAATCTCTAGTCCTTCTTCCTTAAAAGGAAAATAGATTTTGAGAGTTAAAAATTATTTCTTGAGCCTGATTCACCTCTAAAACATAGGACTTACCTCACAGAAGAATTCAATAGAAACACAAACTCAGACCAAAAATCATAGGCAAATTCTGTATTCTTGTTCATTAAATCTCATATTACCCATGCAAAAACTCGCCAATTCTTATGTCTGTTATCCGATAAGGAAATATATCTTTTTTTCCCCCCTCATTAGCAAATCCAGGGAGAATATAAAGAAATATCTCTTGCCAGCTTCAACTGCTCAGTGTATGTCCTTCCAAACAGCTACTGGTTGGAAAGCAATGGTGAACCACGTGAATGCTTTGAAAAAGCACAAGTTACAACAACTTTCTAATTTGGTATCATTTTAAGAGTGTATTGAAACACACTTTTGACAGCCTCAGTCTTCAGCCATCTTTCCCTTCCTCTGATCTGCTATGTCATTTAGTTTCTGTATCACATGGTTTAATACTTAATTATACTCTGCTTCGTATAATTTGCCTTTTAAAATCAGGGTAAGTTTTAGTTCCTCAACGAAATTGTAAGTTCCTTGACGGTAAGAACCCACCTTATACTTGATACATAACAAACATTAAATAACCTTTATAAATGGATGACATAATATATCAGGATATGGAACAAAACAAAGGGTCAGCAAAAAAAGAGAGACTCTCAAAGATAAGGATTGACACAGTGGCTGCAACAATAGGTGCCAACACAGCAAAATTGGGAGGATGGCACAGATTTGGATGGTGTTTCATTCCACTGTACTTAGGGTCACTATATGTCGGAACGGGTTCCCCAGCACCTAACAGCAACAAAAGGGAGTAGAGAAAAACAAAGGGGGCACAAAGCCCTTCTAATCCTGATACCAGTCGAAATGTGACTAGCACCTTTCCAGTGCCCTTTTCTTTGCCTATGGAAAAAATAAAATAAGGAAATGCCACTCAGCTTGAAACTCCATTTAAAATAATCAGATTTCTCTTAAAGTTCCTTCGAAACACAAGTCACTCCCAAAAGGAATGTGGACAAGTTAGTCCTAAACCCATGGCTCAGATGAAAGCTGATGTAGTAAATAAATACTTTAAAATGTAGTCATGGGTTGTAAAAAGTCAAGGAAAGGTTTATAGATGGAAGGAAACTTTCTTTGTTGGTTACCAGGGGTGAGAGGGGAGGAGAGGGGACTCTGCTAGATAGGTAGAGACAAGTATTGATTTGAGTGAAGGGAAGGGCAATGTACCAAAAGTGAATGATCAACACAATGGCACTGAGGAAGAGGAAGACAGAGAGAGGTACACGGGAGGTACAGACAACAAAGATGAACCTTTTTGCATGTACAGTACTATGTTGTTAGTGATGGCAAACATTGATCTATGGGTGGATAGATGGGTGCACAGGCTGAATGATCACGTATGTCTAGGCAGGGGGCATGTGCCCATGACCATGTATAAGGGTGGCAGACAATGTTTCTGCATGTGTGTCTGTATGTACTGTAAGAAAGTCTGGGTGTATAGTAGTGCTGACATGGGCAAGATTGTGGTGGCTTCTTGGCCACAGCCAGCTACCCTGAGAGAGTGAGTACTTGGATCTGTGAGATTGGGACCATAGTCACAGGGGACATCAAGCTCAATTGGCATAACATACTACACAAAAATGTTGTTCTACATCCTGCTTTGGTGAGTAGAGACTGGGGTCTTAATAGTTTGCAAGTGGCTATCTAGACGCAACAATGGATCTCTCCTCATCCAGAGCAAAGACAAATGAAGAAAACCAAAGACACATAGAAACAATTAGGCCGAGAGACTAACAGACCATGCGGTCCCCAGCCTATATGACCTTGACACCAGAAGAACTAGATGGTGCCCGGCTACCACTCTCAACCACTTGGAGGGGGATTGATGCAGGAGATCCTGGACAGAGTGGGAGAACAATGTGGAACTAAACTCAAAACCATAAAAAAAAAAAAAAAAAAAACAGGTTTGCTGATCTGAT